AGAGAGAGAGAGAGAGAGAGAGAGAGAGAGAGAGATGTGAATGCAGAAGGCACATATTAATTGAGAGCCCCTAAAGTCCAAAGCAGTAGGAAAAATCTTAGAAGTTAGCCTTGAAGCATTGTTTTCTTCTGGTTTGGAGTCCTATTATCTCAAAATGCAAACTCTCAAGGAAGAAGTAGACCAGAGAAAGCTTGAGATCAGAGAGAATGACAAGTTCTATAACAGGCTTCTCTCTAGAGATACCTCCATTAGAAACAGCTCCTTCAGAGTCTACTATGGTGGGGCAACTGGTTCAATCCCCTTCAACTGGGAGTCTCAACCAGGTACACCAAAACACTCTTTCACCTCAGATAAACTTCCCCCTCTCACTCCTCCTCCTTCCTACCACTTTCTCTCTCATCACCCCCCTCCCACAAAAACCTCTCAAACAAAGAGAATGATGGGCATTTTACCTAAGATAGCCCTTCGAAAGAGGGAGGCATCGCAGGCAAGTAGGCTCTCGGCCTCCGGTTCCATGTCTTCTATGAGTTCTATGTCATGGGGTGGAGACGACGCGCACGAGTTCTCATTCTGTTCATCGCCGACCTCTCCATTGCATTTCTCATCACACGGCGAGTTTGCCAGCTTACGAGGATGTGGATCCGTCGCAGCCATGAAACATGTGTGGTCGTCGATCCTAGGCCGTCGAATCGCATGATCGCATCCATTATCATGTGGTACAACTCTTAACATCTCTTGCAGCCTGTAGCTACAAGAGATCTACTATATTACTTGTAGTCTTGTAATTTCATGTTACTTAGTTTTTAGGGTTGGGAAATGTTTGTCTATGGTGTATTGAGAGGGAAGATCTCCTTTCCTTTCTCAAGATTTCAGGGGCATGGATAATTACCATAAATGGGTGATGGCAAATTCGGAATATAATTATATGGTGAAAGTTATTGCCAAAGTCGAAATTTGGTATAAGTTGCTGTCCACTATTTATTTCAAGGGCTGTAATGGTGGAATCTTTGGCCTTTAGCTTTGTATTTGCACAAAAAGTGGGGAAGCCCTTTGAAGCATTGCTGGGCCACCCCTAATAAGTGTATTTACTACTTTTTGCCCAACTAAAAACTGCATATCCGCTGTTTACTTGCATGCCTAATAAATGCCTTCCCTTGTGCTGCTATTTTCATAAAAAAGTATCTGTTTTTTTTATTTTGCTTTCTCTTTTACGGGACAATAAGGCATGCCTGTTTTCTTATAATGAAATAGGAGTCCAATTATGGAGTCTGGGCGTTTTTAAGTTTTAGCTTGGTGGAAAGGATCATCAGAGTGCTCTTGCTCTTGAATCTTGGGTTTAATTTTCGTTGGGGGTTTTATTAAGGGCGTTGACTTTAAAAAGTCCTCATAACTTCGTCGAAGATCGAAATCCTTTATGATAGCATGAAAATCTATTTCTATTCTTAATTATAAAATTTAAAGATCCGAAAATCTATTTCTATTCTTAATTATGAAATTTTAAGATCCGATGCACTAGATTTATAAACATTTGAAAATCTTGAAAATGAAAAGTCCATATAATGTGTTACAAGATGCTTTTTTTTTTTTTTCATATCCGATATCTTGATGACGAGATTATCAATCAGAAGGTTTTCCACTATCAAAACAGCCTTTTCTGGTTGGCTTTTAGGGTGCGCCTTACTTTTATAGTATATGATTGATACTTATACAAACTTATTTCTACTATAATTTATAGATAACCCATCAAAAAAAGTTAAAAGAAAAATAGGATATTAGAACTTAGAAATAAAATGCTATTGGTTCAAGTGGAGGGCTAAATAAAGGTAAAGGGTATGCCCAAAGTGATATGGTTTGAAGTATTGAAGAAAGATATGGCGACTTATGACCTCACTAAATGTATGATCCTTGATAGAGCAAAATGGTAGACCAGGATTTGTACAGCCGACCCCAAATAGTTGAAAAAAAACTATGATGATGATGATTGTGTTGACAATTAATATTAAGTGGTTTAAGATGCACAATTTCATTCCCGTAGTAATTGCAAAAATGTTATTAAGAAGTATTGATTTGTGTTCCTTTTTAAAGAGATTGTAGAATTATTTAATGGAAAAAGTTTATATAAGGTGTCAACCTTATACTGCACGGGTAAGGTGCACCTAAAAAACCCATTAGAGAATATCTTTCCTATGCTGGAAAACACTCAAATCGATCATCTCGATCTAGTGATTTATAGACATGAAAAAATGGGATTTCTAGTCTTAAAAATAGTTCATCTACTAATACATTTTAGACCATCCATTTTATAGATCGACTTGATCGTCACCATTTATGAAACTTTAAATTTCATAATTGGGGATAACAATAAATTTTCATATCATTTCAAGGCTTTTAAATTTCATAATTGGGGACAACAATAGATTTTCATATCATTTCAAGGCTTTATGACACCGAAACTGTATTTTCAGCAAAGTTTTGAGGTGCACCTTATTTCAATAGTATAAGACTGACACTTTATACAAACCCCACCTTTACTTATTTACCTTTGATTTACATTTGATATAAGAAGGTCACAATCGCTCTTAGCCAATTGACGTGAAATCAAATAGCTAGGTGTGCCATAAAATTTGAAAACTTTGAGTGTGGTTAATATCACACCTCCAAATATATATAATGGCTATAGATAATGATTTTCTTGTACAAAAAATAAACAGTCACTACTATATACTTGGAAGACAGTAAGCAACCACAACTTTTTCTTTCCTTTTCCCTTGTAATGTATGGCGTGAAAGAAAGGAATTTGCATCTCCCATGAGCCTTTACGCCCATCACATGAGATTTAGAATTTAATGGCCGCATTTATGGTGCACTAGGTACAAAAGATAGAAAAATTAAAAAATGGTCCAAAGATGCTCGGACCGAGAGAATTTTGACAAAAAAAAAAAAATGGGTTGACTGGCCGTTCGCATAATTTCTGCCTAAAATTAGCCTATTTCGAATTTTCCTTCTTCTTTTTTTGTGTCCGTATGTAAATTACACTAATTTCAAGGTTTTTAGAGCATCTTAGTAAAATCAAAGAAGACAAACACCATATTAGACAATCTTGATTCAATTAAAAAAGATTCATTTGATCAATGCGGTACACATATAGTACTCACAATAGCAAATTTTACACTTACTCCCTCGCACAACGCCCTCACTTAAAAGGATTTTTTTATTTGAATTATTCGGAATCATCTTTGAATTAATGAATGAGCAATTCTAGTGACAAGGATGTTGAGTTCCTAGGTATTCCTAGATGTGACTTTTAACTCGGTGTTGTGTTTGCTCATGGGTTTGCGATTCTATTTTCTTTTTCTTTTTTTCATTTTTTTGTTGGATCATTTTCAGGCAATTTTAGGCGATTTTAAGTCGATTACGTTCTCAAAATTTTGTGTCTAGAAAATATTCCTCGGAAGACTTTTGCCCGAAAAAAGTGTCCATTTTGCTCCCACTAGAGAATGTAATAGTTTCACACAATTAATTATGGAAACTTATCGAAATAAATCTTAAGAGATTAACTATTAAAAGTTTTAAACATTTTTTTTATTTAATTTTTAAAAATCCACCAAAAAAACACTTGAAATAGTTGAAAACGAATAAACTACTAAATTGATTGAAATTTATTTTGCTAAATTTCCCTTAATTTTTACTTCCTTGGGAAGTTTTGAATGTAGGCAAATTATTGAAAGGACATGGTTTCTATGAGTCTCTCTGAAAAATCTATTTTTGAGATGGATTTGCGAACCCAATTATTAAGGACATGTAATCGAGATCATGAATATATATAAAAAAAAGAATAAAAATAATAATTTTATGAATAAAACATTTAGACTGTTAGTTTGAATGGTTTTTAGAAGGACCACCTATTTGAATCCATCTTTAAGATGGATGCTTTATACCTTGGGACCCCATATTGTATAAATGCCGTCCAGCCCGCATGAAGCAATTTTCCTTATTAAAAATATATCTATTTTCTTGATTAAAACTACATCCATACCCATTTTCTCACATATCATTTATGACCGAAATAACCTTCACATACCTATTAGATATGTAAGGAGCCTTGACATATCTAATAGATCTGTTAAGCATCTTTACGGACCAATTAAGTCCGTAAAGATTCATTTCTTACCCACCCTCTCTCTGTATTGCTTTCTGCCCCTCTCTTTATCTATCCCTCTCTTTCTCCACCCCGCACTGTTTAGCACTCTCATTTCCGAATGGAAAGATTAGAGCATTGTAAATGGCCCTTTTTCAACTTCCTTCTAGAATTGGATGGCAACCAGGTACGCATTGCAAATGGTCCTTCTTCAACTTCCTTAGGGCCCGTTTGGTTTCTTGGATTTACATTTCAGGGAATCACATTTCAAGGAGATGTGCCAAAAAATCGTGTTTGCATGCAGTTTGATGGAGGAGCAGACATCGATACAGAGAGGGGGTTAGAAAATGGTTGGGCATTTTAAACGGATTAGTTTTACAGGCCTAATACGTCCGTAAGGATGTTTTATGGATTTATTAGATCAGTCGAGGCTCTTTGTGGATCTGAGCCATGAAAGCTATTTCAGCCAATAGGAAAACCATAAGAAAATATTTATCAAAAAAAAAAAACCATGAGAAAATCGGTAAAGTTGTTTTCTGGAATTTTTTAGAATGGTAAGGATTCTTTTTATATTTTCTCTTTTTTCTTTTTTTTTATAATTAAGTGACGAAGACATCCCCCGCCCATTTTTTCAAGTGGATTAAGAGTTAGCTTTTTTATCATAATATAACAACCTCTAGGCTTCAAATGGCTACACTTGTACTGTGCCATAGTTAACCTAAGCCAGGGTCGCCAACCTATCAAGGGCTTCAAATAATGGATCGAGCTTGTCTCTACAAACTTTGAAAACGCCATTGCCCAAGTCCAAGCATATAGCAGTTCAGTTTTATACTTAAAAAAAAAAAAGCCATTTTGTGTTTCTCAAATCCTCATGAGATCAGCAGGAGGACAAAAGTATGGATTAGTATAGTATTGCCAAATTCTTTCCCACCTCAAAATAATGTGCCATTCTATTAAACTATTAAATCTGTTATCATATTGAAGTAAGAGTATTGTGCTGTTCCATTTCAGTTCTTCCACAGAGCATTATTGTGTATGTGAGAGAGAGAGGTAGATGGCTCAATAATTTCTCATTTTTGTATTAGAAACATCAAGAGTTTTGGATTAGAAAGGGTCTTATGGGCCCAGGCCAATGCAAATTTGTTTGTTAGACCTTCAAATCATTCCCAGACATGAACTTTATTAAATACAACTCAACAGACCGTCGGGCCTCCTTGGATATGCAATGATCACTGGTTTGATATTCTATTCAATTTGCAACAGTAAAAAAAAAAAGAAAGATATTCTTTTTAATTTAGGAGTTGGACTTGTGAGTTAGGATCTAATTGAAAGATTTTTGAGAGTCCAATAGGTTCAAACTCCTACATGCCATATAATCAACAAAAGACAGTGTTTGAAACTCGGATTTGAATTTTATTTTGGGTAATTCAGTGGGGAAGATATGCCCCGACCCGTCCTTTTATATAGATTAGAGAGTTAGCTTTTTTGCAAGTGTCTGCATGCAGTATTAGAAACCACAATGTGGCAGCGGGTGCCACCGCTATGACCGAGCCCCTTTC